ACCCGCCTCCTCATTGTTGTTTTAAACATGGCCCCTAAGCAAGGGTAGCCGTTTCAACTGAGATGCACCTGAAGAAAGAAGCTAAATGCCGTAAAAAACGAATGCATTAGGCTAATTGAAAGATGGTATATTTGTATTCAGCTGTATTTACAAAACATGTAAGCTGTATTCGGTGTTTGGGGTTGACCTTAGAACCTAACATCTGTCTTAGGAGTCATCAGCTAGCCTTGACAAATGTTTACTCAAATAGTGGTACCTTGCAACTTCTCATTTAATGTATTTGCTGTAATACATCCACCTGTCTCTATGTTTAAATGCTTCTTAATATCTTTTATACAATATAGAGTTCTCATTCTTCCTTGGAAAAGTGGAAATGTAATACAGTTAACCCTTGAACAACACTGGTATTAGGGCACAGTTGAGAACCTGTGAATTTTGACTCCCTGTGCCCTCTTGCAGTCTGGGGCCCCTCAGGGGATGTCCACCTGCTGGTTTAGGCCCGCTCCCCAGGGGATCGGGCCTAAGCTGGCAGTCAGACATCCCTCTGGCAGCCCGGGAGACCTCGGGGAATGTCCACTTGCCAGCAGGGAGCAGGCCTAAGCTGCAGTCAGACATCCTTAGCACTGCTGAGGAGGTGGGAGAGGCTCCCGCCACCACCGCTGTGCTGGCAGCCATCAGCCTAGCTTGTGGCTGAGCAGAGCTCCCCCCTGTGGAGTGCACTGACCACCAGAGGGCAGCTCCTTCATTGAGCGTCTGCCCCCGGTGGTCAGTGTGTGTCATAGTGACCAGTCATTCTCATTCGTCTGCTCATTAGGGTCAATTTGCATAATTACTCTTTTTTATTATTAGAGGCTTGGTGCATTGGGTGGGGGCTGGCTGATTTGCCCTGAAGGGTGTCCTGGATCAGGGTGGGGGTCCCTCTGGGTGCCTGGCCAGCCTGGGTGAGGGCTGAGGGCCGTTTCAGGCTGTCCACACCCCCTCCAGGTGGGGTCCCACTGGGTGCTGCAGCTGGTGCAGGCTAATGCTGTTGCAGCTGCAAACCCCCAGCGGGGACCCTCAAACC